TTATATTAATAAAATATTAAATTATAAAAAAAAACTACCTAAGTACGCTATAAAATCTTATATACAATTAGATATATTAAAATATAAAGAAAATTTAAAATTTACAATAGAAATACTTTATTAAATATTTAAATTAAAAAATACTAAATTACTAATATTTAAACAAAAAATTTAAAAATAAAATATCATGAAATCTTTAATAAATAAAATAATAAAATTGAGATTAAAATAAATAATAAAATATAGAATCAAGATTAAGATAAATAATAAAATATAAAATCGAGATTTAAATAAATAGTAAAACATAAATATATCCCCATGAATATCAATTAATTATATAAAAAAAGTTAAAAAAAAGAAATAAAAAATTAAGAAAAATTAAGAAAAATTTAAAAAAAATAAAAATAAAATTAAGCGATACTCTTATTTCAAAGAATTAAAAAAAATTAAAAAATAAAATAAAAGTATAAATTTTATAAAATTAAAATACTAATAAATAATATTAAATTAAAATATATTTATTTGCAATTGCAAGTGCAGGGTAGCTACATGGTTGAAGGGTAGAGGGTTGCCGACCCCTTTGATCCGATGGGGGTCGTGGCCCTTATATATCGTCGCGTTGCCGCGATGATGGGTCCCTGCAAAGGGACGCGCTAAGCCACCTTCCTGTGGCTTAGCGATTAAGGGCAGCCACAGTATACAGTTAGGATCACACTATATTATTATATTCTCCGTTTATAGTTTTATTTATTAACCCTAGGGCCGTACAGTTCTATATTTATAGTTTCAACAATCACCCCTATAGAATATTAATAATTTCAAGTATTAGTTAATCAATAAGGATTATCTCTAATACGAGTTCCCAACAACCGCTTAGTAGCTAGAAGAACCCACTTTCCAGGCCTATTAGTTGCTAGACGGGATCCCCTAGCCAACATATTTTAATTAATATCCTAATCTGTTAACATTACTGTTAAACTATCATTTGGCTGTGCTTGTGACTTGTCCACTTCTGAAGTTCTGATATTAATGTGCTAGACAAGGGTCTGTAACAGTAACAAGTTCAGCAACTTGGATAGGCAAATAAATCCAACTAGACCACAAGGGGCGTTTAAAAGTATCAGCCTATTAGGACAAGAGTAAGGTAATCAGATTTATCAATATTATTGTTACTCATTTAGTTATTTTAATTTATATTTTTACCACATGGCTGACTAATCTTTGGCTGCTTCATGAGCTCTCTTGGCACAAGTAATTTCCTCTACCAGCGGCCCATTTGATAGAGCTTGACGTGCTGCTTCATTCCCTGCGATCGTCTTGTTAGGACCCTGACCAGACCCAAGATGCCTATTCTCCCAGCCCCATCCAGTAAGATATACCCCAACGAAGAATGTCTGCATCCCCGGTCTTTGCTGAGCTGGGGGGTGTTCATCAAGATACCGCAATTTGATTCCCTTACCCATGATCTTTCTAGCAAGTATTTCCTTCGCATTCAAAACGGGCTTCTGCATGCCAAGTTCCGAAAGCTTTGGAAGCCATAACTGCGTCAACCATTTTTCAACGGCCCTGTAGCCATCAACTGGATCAGATATGATAGCTGCGGCCACATAGGCCTCGAAAATGTCTGCCTTGGTCTTTGTCCACCGTTTTGGTTGCTTCAGATAGTCCTGTGGCACTGCAGCCTTGCTGTCAAGACCATATACCGTCGCGTACTCGGCGAGAGTTTCATTCTTTACTAGGAGTTCTCTGATCTGTGAAATCCGCCCCGAAGGAATTTCTTGAAAACTTCTCCATATGAGCTTTGTAGCAATGAGTTCTATATAGGCATCCCCAAGGATTTCAAGTCGATCGTAGGTTTTCTCGGTATCGTTGCCCACACCCGGATGCGTGAAAACAGCTCTTTTCAAAACTTTATCCATAATAGGAGGTAAAACGGGCAAGTTCTCTTGCGTACCCACTACTCCAGTTGAGGAGTCAGTCAATATATGGCTATTGCGAGCACTTGCAGTTGATAAATGGCTCTTTGCGCGACGTAGGGCCTCCTCTAGCTCAAAAGTTGCCTTAAGGATATCAGGGCCAACTTCAACATCACGAGCTTGTAGGTAGCGATAATTTTCAAGAGCATCGCTCAAAAGATCTGATACCACAGTAAAGCAAGATCTAATCTCGTCTTTGTCCAAAGCACTGTTATCCAAGACCGGGCGATCAAGCTTGAAAGGTCAGTACTGAATAGAACTTTCTCCTGGAAGGTGCGTACCTTAACCCTAGCTTCCTTGATATAAGTACTAGTAGAGGTTGAAAAAACGGACTTCCTTTTACGGCCCATTGTTACAGTGCATTAATAGTAAAAAAGTAGCGTTGAATGCTGTATATTTTCAGAGAATACAAGGCTCATCACACCACGTGACCACGGCAGGCGATAGGCCTATGTGTCGGCCTGGTGTTCTTATCCTCTTAGTCTCATATGCCCAAATATGGCGGCGCCCTACAGTCGTATTCTGGACCTTGCAAAGGTATTACCTCATGCACAAGCTGTGTCTTGCTGTGTAATCAAGTGTGAATTGATGTTAATGCTGCTTGTAGGTCCAATGTCGAATCTTTTCACTTAACTTTAATCCACAAAGGTTACGGCTGGGAAATAAGGTCCTTCGACAGCGACTTCGCGGCCCAACACTTGCAGAATGGTATCCGAAAAAGGCTGTTTCTTTCCGTGACTTACAAGACAGTTACAAGCCTCTCGGCTTAACCATGTTTGATGAAGCGGAGGATGATAGAGAGGAGGCTATCCAAATGTATGTTATCCCTGGTCCTGTACTGCAACATGTGCTCACAATTGCAAATTAGTGCGAAGCTTCGAGGAAAGGGTCGGCCAAAGAAAAAGAGAACAGCCGCTGGTAAGACAACTCAAAGGGAATACCGTCTTCATGCTGCGGTCACTAATCCTCGGGTAGAATCGAGATCCGCAAAGAAAAAGAAATAGAAAAGAAAGGACAGGTGTTACCTCCTCTGATCTCATATTAAACACCATAATTTTGAAGTTTTTGTATTATATCTCATGTCCACATGGGCGCAATTTTGTTTCATCAGATTTATTCTGGGATATTCATAGATGCTCATTACTTGCCCTTTGTGACTGTGAATCTTCGCTCAGTCCGATCTGAAACTCTTAGAGATATACAGAAGCTTAATGGGTTTACTTTAAACCTCCGAAGATGACCTCTGTAGGCTTGGATGTGCCCTATGCAACTGAATCTCCCTCAATTTCGAAAATGTTTCCAGTCTACGCTCTCACGGGTTTCTACCAAATCGGAGAAAAACAAAGGCTACGTACGTAGACTTAGATTTTAATGTCACGGTAGATCACTCGTTCATGAGATAAATGGTCAGTTACTCGCGCTACTGGTGTTTGGTAAAAAAGCCTCGCCGCCCTGCAACTAGCTGGGTAGATAATACGTAGCTTATACGCAGTAATATTTGACATTTCAATGATCTTCATTATGTTATCAATACAAACACAGCAAGTCTCTATCTGTATCAGCACGTGATATACTGACGGGTAATGTCACAGGATGTACCTTAACACGACTCATTTTACGTCTGAACCCCTCTGATCAAAGCATCGCAGTACATTGGCTTTCACCTTCACCAATCATTTGTATATGCATTCATATGCCTAACAGTGCGAAATAAGTAGAGCATACTAGGTTGTCGCTCGAGCATATCTCTTGTTTGACGGGCTTTCATAATGAGGTCAAGCAAGAACCAATTGAGAAGGGCAAGGAAAAAAGCCTTGAAAACCCAGGTCCGTTTATTACGGTGCAAACCTCAAGAGTAAACTGACTTTCTCTAGGCTACCGACGCGACGCTCGATGAAACACATACGAAATCTCAGACAGAGGTGGTTCTATCGACTGATGTCTCACGAGGTAGTGGCGATCAAGGGCATAATGCTGCGTCTCCAGATCTAGAGGACCCGTTATGGCAAGTATATAAGCATATCATTGACAGATTCGATGAGGTCGGGGATAACCCAACATCAACAAAAGAGCCCGAAAAGCCGGAAATATATTTTGATGATGACGATGAAATCCCGGACGAAGAAGAAAAGGCGCCCAAACTCTCAAAAAGAAAGCGCAAGGAACTGAACAAGCTTTCTGTTGCTGAATTGAAAGCAATGGTTCGAAGACCAGAAATTGTCGAGTGGACAGACACTTCGGCCCCCGATCCTCGGCTTCTTGTTCACATAAAATCCCATCGCAATGTTGTCCCGGTCCCTTCACATTGGTCCTTAAAACGAGAATACCTCTCTTCGAAGCGAGGAATTGAGAAACCGCCTTTTGCTTTACCTAAATTCATTCAGGAGACTGGGATTTCGGAAATGCGCGATGCTGCCCTGGAGAAGCAAGAACAAGCGACACTCAAACAGAAGCAAAGAGAGAGGGTACAACCAAAGATGGGAAGATTGGATATCGATTATCAGAAACTATACGAAGCATTTTTCCGATTTCAAACTAAGCCGGAACTTACTCGTTATGGCGAGGTTTACTATGAGGGTAAGGAATATGAAACCAACCTTAGACATTTACGGCCCGGTGAGCTTAGCGCTGAGCTCAAGGAAGCTCTCAATATGCCACCCGGCGCCCCTCCTCCTTGGTTAATCAACCAACAGAGGTACGGCCCACCTCCATCATATCCGGCTTTAAAGATTCCAGGTCTCAACGCCCCCCCACCTCCTGGTGCCATGTGGGGATATCATCCTGGTGGCTACGGAAAGCCACCAGTAGATGAGCACAATCGTCCCCTCTATGGAGGTGATATATTCGGTGTATTGCAACCGCAACAGACAATGCAGCAAGGCGAGCCTGTTGAGAAGGATCTCTGGGGTGAGCTACAAGAACCTGAGCCTTCTGACGAGGAGAGTGAGGATGAAGAAGACGAGGAAGACGAAGAGGACATGGAAGCGGGCGTGCAAACTCCTAGTGGACTTGAGACGCCAAGTGGGTTGGCATCATCTGTTCCCTCTGAGTTAGCTGGCGAAGAAAATGTTTCAGGGGAATTTGACGTGCGCAAGCACTATCGAGGCACACAGACAGAAGAGCCTGTAAGCCATAAGAGCGCTTTTCAAGTTATCCCAGAGCGACAGGCCAATGTGCGGGGCTTCTTCGGTGGTGACAGGGTATATGATCTCGCTGCGCCTCCAGAAAACTTGGCGGTGCTCGGTGCTGATGAACAAAATCGGAAGCGCAAGAAGCCTGGCGACGTTGATGTCTCTGTGGACCCAGATGTTCTACAGTCAAGTGAGGGATTTAGCAAAGAAAATGTTCGAAAGCTTTATGAATCCCAGAGGCAACAGGAAAACAATTCTAGTTGGGGGTTCCAGGAAGATCTAAGCGATATGATTGCCCAGGAAAGTCGGAAAAGGCTCAAAAAGGAAGAAGAAAAACGAAACCGGCACTGATATCGCTTCCAACGAGCTTTTACCATGCATGCTTTACAGCACCTGTATCAAGGAAGTCGTTGTTCTCGGCTCTGTATCTCTTGAGATTCATAATGTTGTAGAATATCTTTCATGCTCTTCTTGTCTGATTATTCTGAAAGCAAGGCTCAAAGAGCAGTGGCTATTATACAAGGGGCATAACTATGCCGAATAGGTACTGATAGTGTCTTTTGCGATCCCTCCATTCTTCGACCTCTCTTAAGCCATAGCAGACTGGTTAGTCTCCCATTCAAGATTCAATTCTTGTCAACACGCGTAGTCCATTGAGTAAGAGTATGTTGGGCTGAAGAGAGAGACTGAACAAAATCAAACAACATCGGTGGTTCAGTCATGTGATACTTGCCCTGTCAACGGTCTCAGACAGGTATGACAGCGTCTCGGCCCATGCCCATTACCTGCTTTCAGGTGTAGCTTCAATCATCCATTTTGTCTCTAGCCTAGTTACTAGCTGCCTATTCATAGTGATACTTTCTGCGCAGTCCGGTGACATTTATTTTACGAAAATTTGTCTGTTTGTCGCCGAATGGACTGGGATCGCAACAGAAGGTACATGTTTACGCCACCCCCCTTCTTTTACCATTTTTATTCCTCTCTCTTACACCCTAAGTCGACAGTCTCTTGTCTTGAAACCTGGACTAACGAATTACTCATAGATTTGATGATCACCGTGGCGGAGAGAGCTATCGCCCGGCAGGTCCTCGTGGCTATATTAGACGCAGTAGATCGCCACGGAATCGTTCCCCTCGTCTAGTTGCTGATACATGGGTGCCATCCTCAAGTCGGCCATATGGTCGCGGACGCAGTCGTTCACCTCCCGCTTTTAGGGGTCGCTCATCCCGAAGCCCGTCTTTCTACAACAGAGATAACGGTCCTAGCTCATACTTGAAGACATGCTCTCCCCCAAGAAGATTCTCACCCAGACGCGAAGGACGACCCAGGTCTCCAGCTCCTACTTCTTGGCGTATAAGGTCACCGTATGCTGATAGTCGACCTCGTGACTTCTCCCGGAATCGGAACATGTCAAAGCGGCTTCGAGATCCATCACCTAACCTAGATTTTAGACCAGCCAGAAGAGAGCGCCCTGCGCTGACTGCATCTGACCAGTACACTAGACCAGCTTCACCTTCCAGGCGTAGCTTGTTGCGAGATAATTTCGCTCGTGGACCGATGGTCCCTCGTTCTCGGAGTCCTATCCAAGAGGGTCGTAGGGACCGCCATACAGAGAACTATATAGCCCACAGACGACGATCACCGTCCCCCCGTGGGGCTCCTTCTGCATACACCTCTGCCCCTGGATCGATTTCTAATTCGAGACGGTCATCACCATTCCTAGACAGGGTCAGTGGTTTCCAGTTTGACAACAGGGTTAGGTCACCGACATCTCAGCCAGTTTCCTGTCGTCGCTTATCGAAGAACTCAGAACATTCGCCATCCCATCACGAGCATGCAACATTGAGCAAAACCAAGCCGACTCAAGACGAGACAGGACGTGATTTTCCGCTTCTGGATGGAGCCGGTTGCTCTTCAGAGAAAGGACCGGACTCTGATATTTCGGGTCGGGCTCCTTCCCTCGAGATCCAAGGGAAAGGCTCTAGTGAATTGAATCAAGCACATTCTGGCAGTATTCCAAGCTACCCAAGGGCATATAGCACAGCACAGGACCACTCACCGCCATCTGGTCCTTCCCATGGGCCCAAGTCCTTGTCTTCGCAAACCCATAGCTCAAATATATCGCTACTATCAGCTCCCACTCGTCCTCGCGGAGGGCCGAGCTTCAAGGAAAATGTTTGGACCAGTGTCCCCGCCCGCCGTGGACCCATGTCGGCTGGGACCTATGGGCCCCCGACTGGCCCGCGCAGTGGCCATATGCCAGGGCCGGGTGTGGATACTCATCGTCACCCTACTTACCGCCAAGGAAGTGTTACGGGAGCCCCCTATCCTCGTACCCCGAGGTACATGAATCATCTTACGGGCCTTTGTTCGATTATATCAGGGGGGAGATGCTTCCCATCTGACCTAGATGCCCTCACGGAAAAGCGCCTTTGGCAATTAGACGCAGACAGGGATCGGCTTATGGAGCAGACTGCAGACACTCAGAAATCAAAACGCACTGGAATGCGGGACTGGGACAGACTAGATAGAGATAGCTCCATTTGCGCTTTGAAAAGTGAACTCGCAGAGGGACACCTGCAGCGGATTGCGGATGGTGAAAGCGCACATGTTAGCGCGATCTTCTGAAAGTACAGAATACAATGCTGGGAATCATTGCCACTTGAGAATGAGAACTGCTCAAAATTCTAAAGCCATGTGGATTTCTGCCTTTCGTTCTCTTATTGGTTGATACAAGTACTAAAAAATGAAAATAACAAAGACAAGGTCCCCGGGGGATGGGGGGGTAGGGTAAAGGGAGAAGACTAAAACATAACAAAATAAAATATGCAGTATAAGGAAAAGAAGAGCAAAGGAGTGTATAGTTGGTATTTGAGTTCATTGAAAAGAGAGCTCAAGTATACCCTGCAGGTGGAATTGCGGCATCTCGAGCGCGGTGTGTGGGGCGGGGAGTTTGCTTGTCGCGCCTGCTTGTTGTGGCTTCGTGTCAACATTGTTCAGGGCCTTCCCAAGGGTGCGACTAACTATTACTATGCTCCATACCAAAAGTGGAACTCACTGGTTTATGCAAATTGCATGGCGATTGACTATAGGAAATCCTTAACCCATCATCAAACAATCTTCACTTTCATTCATTATATATTTGGTATTTCCTAAACCAACTCGCCCAGATTCTAAACCATCATGAACATCTTCAGGCTTTTGGGTGAGTGCTTTGTGATACTATCTTGCGATTGTTCTAACATTCGAACTAGCTGATTTTTCGCACCTCGCGTCCATCTTTATTCTTCTACATAAAATGAAGTCGTCTAGTGTATGGGTTTCTGCTTGCCACCTGTAGTGCTCAATCTAATCCGCAAGCTAGAGCTGTTCTGGACTGTCATTCAAATCACAGGCTTTGTATTTGATGGTTTTTGTGACTCGCTATCTTGGTAAGGGCTCCATTTTCTCTTCGCCGTCACCTCTCGCAAGACTTCTCTAATCCTTGCCTATCTTCTAGATCTCTTCTGGGCCTTTTCCGAATCTCTATACAACACGACTTTCAAGATACTGTTCATTGGCTCATCAGCCTATATCATCTATCTCATGCTTAATGACTATAAACCCACACATGATCCGAATATCGATACATTCAAAGTCCAATACCTCCTCGGGATTGGTGCTTTGCTAGCTCTTCTCTTCCCACATGACTATAGTTTCTCCGAAGTCAGTTCATCAATCATTTGTATTTCCATGCGGCCTCTGACAATAGCAAGATTCTCTGGACGTTCTCGATTTGGCTTGAATCTGTTGCCATCCTACCTCAGCTCTTCATGCTTCAACGTACCGGCGAGGCAGATACTATAACAACTCACTACCTATTTGCATTGGGTCTATACCGCGCCCTCTACATACCTAATTGGATCTATCGCTATTTCGCGGAAAGCTACTTTCAGCCCGTCCCTGTTGTAGCAGGCATCGTCCAAACACTTCTATACTCGGATTTCTTCTATATCTATTATACCAAGTAAGTCACCGAGAATCTTAGAGCCTGATGATGCACTAAACAGGAGTAGGGTCATGAAAGGAAAGAAGTTCTCACTTCCTGTCTAACCGTCGGTGTAATCCATTTGCAGGCGGGCTTGGGAGCAGCGATCAATATACTTTCTTTCTTTTTCTTTTTCTACAATTATTATAGTTGTGTGGTGTACCTCAAATCGTTTCAAGACGCTAGGCTACGTTTCAGTTTTGATGGATTTTGCTTGTTTGTACAATAAAAGATTTTCTACTCTTGATAATTTCGAATAATCATGTCAGAGCTGGGTCGTGGTCAAGCCGATCCGAAAATGCCTGCCGCTTCAATCGTAATGGAACCGGAGCATTACAGCCAGTTCCTATTAGCATCATGTAGAGGAGTATGCTTACAATGGAAACTGTCCTTGAGAGTCCCAAACCGTTTGGGAGAACAACTGAGCCACGCCTGAGGGCTGCTTCATTGTTTAGGGTAGGATATCGGATAAGCTATGCGTCTTCAACATAAAATAGACCAATTTTTGGCAATGAGTGCCTTATGAATCATGACTTAATGCTTGGTTTAGTCAAGTGCACGTACTTCTCCAACGATCACAAACGTTTGTTAAAAACAGCTAAATATTACTTGAGAAAAATACATTCTTTGTATTAGAAATTGAAAGAGCAAGAAGAGAAAGAAAAAGAACAGAGAAAGAAATAAACCCAAGTTACCATATTGTCGGGGCCATTTCGAACCCATCTGATGATTCGCCGGTCGAATGGAGAACTCTAAAAGTCTCGATGGCTAGACGGGCCATGTGCAGTAGCGAAACCTGAATTATAATTAACCTGTGACGATGGATCTGGGAGATCCCCATAGGGAGAGTCCAATGCAGAAACTGAACTGGGCAGGGGGGGCGTTGCTTTTGCAAAGGCGTGTCCGGGGCTCAAGTTTGACCGTTGGTGTATACCCCTTTGACTCTCCAACCAGCTATTGTGGCCATTGAACTGAGTCAAGTAGCTCGCCTGTGGCCTGTCCAACGGCAATTGAACGTTCAGACTGGATTCACATCTTGATATGGGTGGCGATGGAAGTTTTGGGGAACGAGATACTATCTCGAGACGGGGTGAGCTTCTTCTTGAATTAGGAGGGGTGAGGCGCGAACCTCCCCGGCGAACTTGACAAGTCGGACATATTTTTACAAAACGCGAGATGAGTTCTTTAGGGACCCTTTGACGAAGATCAACGTATGCTTACAGTCAGTCTCCACTGGTTAAGGATGACTGGGGCATCGGGATGTTCTCGAAAAGATAGGCCTGGAAGGTGCAGACAATTCATTTGAAAAACAGACAGACGTACCATGAATAAATCTGCCGCACCTGAGCAGATGTTTTATCTCTGCCACCGTGTTGGCACTGTTGATGTGCCCTGGTGAGAATCTTGAAAAGCTTCTCTCGGATAGCCACGGGCTTTCCTTCATGACAGATCATTTTCATGCACTTGAAAGGCATGTGAGCATCAGCAATAATGTTCTTCAACCTGATAAGGAGCGAATACGGACATCTGAAGTCCCTGTACCAACTACTTGAAGTTTGAACATCTTTTTGACCCAAAATCTGATGCTATACATTTAGCTGATGCAAACACAATCATGGTCTTGGTGAAAGGCTTGAAAATAGTAGGGATGCTTCCAGCCGCAGGAAAAGGTCAGGAAAAATCCATACCGAAACTGGGCAGATTCTACAGTCGTATCCTTTGGATCTAATAAGACCGTCCTTATGTTTCTGGCCCTTTTAGCATGAATCAACGCTTTGTCTTGTTTCTTAACCGAGAGGTCGTCGACATAGCTGAAGTAGAACACCGCGCATAAGTAAGGCCTCTCTCTACTTAAAACACCGAAGTGGATTCTTTGGACGTGTGGACTACTTACCTTCTCATTAGTTGATCGAATTCCCGTACGTTTGGGAATCCATCCAGTGGGGGAATGACTGGCTCCGATAACATCGTATTCTCGTTTCGGGAGTCTTGACTTTCGATGTCTGTCTCCCCAAGTGTTTCGCGGAAAGGCAGATATCTTTGGGACTGGAAATAGCGGAATGGTGCCATGTACTGTACCGACTGATGGTGGTGATGGTGGTGGTGGTGTTGTTGTTGTTGTTGTTGTTGTTGTTGTATGGCCGTATGGTCAGGGGTTGACGGCACAGAGTGCACAGGTAAATGGGGAGAAGACATATGCTGGTTATGAGTTGATATGCCTGAGTGGCTGTATGGAGAGCTGAATTGGGAAGTATATGCATTGAAAGACTGAGATGGGAAATGATATGAGCCAGAGTCGTTTACGCTGAACTCATGACCTTCCCCTTGGCTATATGGAACAGGCAAGGCAACTTGCTGGTTCATGATATAGCTACCATGGCCCTCATTACTTCGCCTTCCAAAACCACTCATAATGACTTTCGGTTTAGCTTTCGTCTCTTGTTGGCAGCCAGAAAGTTAAGAACTTTCCAATTTAATGCATGCACAGATTAACACGGATAATCTCACTGCACAAGGAAGCAACTCGTACTGCTCGCCCTATCATCCAAATCTATATTGATACAGAGATGGAGAATGTGATATAGTAGGGTGAAGTTTTTATAAGCCAAAAACCCTCGAATAGCAAGGATTCTGTTTCTGGAAACCTTGATGATACAATCTCTTTGTAATGGAGTGTACGGTGAGGTGGCGTCGAAAGTAGAGAGACACGCCTAAATACGATAGAGAAAAGGAATAAGGGGAGAAAGAAGAGAGGACGGAAAACTTGAAGTAATTCCAGAAGAGACAAGTGATGGAGGTGTAAATAAAACACTGTTCGTATACTATGGATCCCAGTAATGGCGAGCGGGCTCCGAGTCTCAAATAAGGGAAGAAAAGCCTAGGGACTTCCGGTAAGAAGCCTCAGTGTGAATGACATATGGAGATCTGGTAGGGTATATATGTGCAAGACCATAGCACCCTACCCTTGAACGCTGCAAGGTAACGTCCAAGAAGTCCGAGGCATCGGTGACAGCTGACAGATCCCAGATTTCCTGGACA